CAGTGGAGACATGCTTTACGTATCTGGACTTCTCCCCCGTACAGGAACGGGGACCGGAGTCTGGGTAGTAGGTAGACAGGCTATTTTGTTCATGGAAAGTCTGGTTATATAGTTAGGATTTTGGGAGTGGGGTGGGGTGGGAAAGGGGAGGGACGGAATGGGAATGGAGGTAATGGGGAGACGATGGGGGGTAGGGTGAATGTGGTAGAGGGTGAGAAGGAGTGGAGAAAGACTGCGAAGTTGCTGTTTGCGACAGCTGGTTAGGTCGGTCTCCTGTAAGTCGTCGTTAGCTTGTGTCTCGTTAGTTTGTCTTTGCCCTCTGGCTCATCTTGTAAGAGGGGGGGATTTGGAGAATGTTTAGGGAATGCTTTTACCGGGTGCAAATCTACAGAAGTCTCCATTTTCGTGAAGGAAAGGTCAGTTCAAAGTTAACAGGAATATTTCTAATTAATCAAAAAGTTATTTACACCTGAATTTGAGGGTGTGTTAAATTGAAGGGTAAATTCAAAGGAATTTTACTGGAGGGCCATTGATGTTTGAGTCAGATATTAATATGACAATTTTAATTAAAAAATGTCACTTTTTACACTTTCATCGATCAACATTTCGAATGTCATTAGCAATCTTGACGATCACTTTTTTAGATTTCATTTTTGTTTAGAAGATAATTTATATATAAAACATTTGGAAGTCAATACGAAAACTATGAATTGAGTGTATGAAACTATGAATGAAGAAATTATTAAAATTCATTTTAAAATTTTCCGGACCTACGAGATAAGCAGGTACAAGAGGGCCCTTAGAATGTTATTACTTTGTCCACAACGACCATATGTAATAAAAATATTTTTTAATGCTGAAGCGGAATATGGTGATTTTTCGCCAGAAAGACTGAATAGCGGAACACCTAGAGAAAATAGTTATTACAGCTATTACTACGTTGTGTGCTCAAACGCAAAAATGTTGTGGAAACTTGATGCCGCAATATTGCTTCACAGCTATTCCAAACGTCTGTTCATGGTCAAAATTAGTGCCTTAAACGTTCAGAGAAATTTATTCAAAACATTTTCGTATCTATCTGGCCTAACCATAATCCATGTAAATTCGAAACTGACTCATTTTCAGGGTACTCTAAAGGAAAACTCAACATTTTCAATTTTTTTCAAAAATAGATCTAAAATTTTGGTTTTTTTCCATCCGTTACAGCAAAAGACGTTTAAGTAAGGTATTAATTACTTGTTTGAACTATTCAATTTTGAAATTTACTTAAGTTTAAAATTATTTCGGTGTATACAACTACAAATTGAAGATATTCTCTTTCATGAAATTATTCGAAGCTGAATCTTTATCTTAAGGTCATACACAATTTTGGAGTTAATGACTAGTTTTCAAGTGGTTTTATAATATGCAATTTTTATAAGTTCTCTAAAAATTGATTTCAAATATTTCCTTCAACTTTTTCCGAGTATGCAATGAACGGGATCTACGCTTAAAAATTAGCACAGATCCTTTTTTGGCTAACTATTTTTAAAAAATTTAAAAAATCAATATTGAGGAAGAAAAATACTGAGAATTTTCTTCTAAATGAAATCAATTCTAAAATATACCTTCTAAAAATTCAAACTTTTTTAAACTTCGGGCATTTTTCATATACTTTCTTAAAATAATTTTCTCAAGTACTAAAGATAAAATAAAATCTTATCTTTACAACATTTCCTTAGACAGTGAAAGTACAATTAAACGTTTGTGTAGGTCTGATTTCAGTTTATCTCAATTTTAGAAAATTCCGAAATTTTGAAATAATGCTGAAATTAACTAGTAGTCCTGTTATAGGGCTATTCGTTTTTCACTATCGTAAGTAGGAAACTATAATTTCTATGTATTTTTTCGTAACGCAAATAGCGAAAACTGACCTAAGCGTCGCGACATCGTTTTCCGCGACGAGACAACTCTGAAAAACTGTTCGAGTGGTGACAAATCGTTAATCGTGCTTGCCAGCCTGACTAGTTGAACAATCTACGAGATTTATGCATTTCTTCTGCTAAGTGACAATTTTGACCTCGCCTTAAGCGATTGAGATTTCAGAAGCTCCCTTCTAGGCATGGTAGAAGAAATGCAAAGAACAATGAAACTTGCAGCAATAATGATGGTCATTAAATGAATCAATCGCGATATCATACAACGTTACAGAAATTAGTATAAAATGGAGGAATGTAAAAATACTTATGATTAATAAAATAATTAATAAAAGTGACTTACTGCCGCAAAAACATGAACGATTATTTGAAAAAAATAGACAGCTGTGCTAAAAAACTGCATCACCTTTCCCACAATTGTAATCAGCAATATAATCCTGAAAATAATGCAAAAATCGAGGAAAAATCGATGCGAGTTATGAAGATAATTGAATCAAACGTCAAATAAAGGACAAATATATTACCAATTTCTTTGTAATTTGTTTAAAAGGTTTGAGATCAGATTGGATTACGAGGATGCTGAATGTCCATTTTCTTTACTGGTGCGGTTTCTTTAGCACTACTGTGTAGCCCTAGTGAACTGTAGAGGCTGTTTAACCAAGTCCAAGTGGATGCACGAGTGCATGTGCAGTCCTCGGCAATAGTAATTGTCACTTTACACACTTCGGGTTATCCGTGTTTAAGAAATATAACAAGCAGTTTTGTTAATACTCTGTACACTACACGTAATGGGTGCAGTCTAAAAAAAACTCAATTCTATATGACCTCGTTATCACTGCCACAAAAAATTTGCAATTAATTTCCTCATACGGTCTAACTACAAACAGAAAATAACTGAAAACCTATCAATTTATTCCCACAAATGTTCTGACGAGTTGCGGCATCTTAATCGGAGGCTCCCGCTGGCCTCCCTTCAGATCTAGGGACAGGTTGGCAATAAATCAGCTAATTAATACTTTTACCCGAAAGCGTACGAGAAGAAAACTTACCGATCATAAAGCAGGATTTAAAAAATATAAATGTTTATTATTATTATTATTATTATTATTATTATTATTATTATTATTATTATTATTGTGATGTATGCAACTTTCCTTGGAATTGCCCCTTCCTCTAATGTGTAACGCGAAAATAGAAAAAAATAAAAATTATCAGACTGCCCAGTTGCCTGAAAATTTTCTACCACTTCAATTTTTGTACACTTTTCGGGAGACGAACAAATGACTTCTTTTATGGAAGAAAACGTTTTACAGAGATCCTTATTACCTCGTGGCACATTTTAGATGCAGATATAGCGTTACATTAAAGGATTTTTTTCTTTCGTTCTGACATCTGCAATGACAATTTATCTAGTTTTGCCACGTCATGCGATTTATCTGATTTTGTAACACCTCTGCTTGGTTATGAAACCAGTAGCTTAACGAGAGGAATGCGGGCCCGCCCCCAAAACATTTATCCGGGCCGCCTTTGCAAAGTGTGTAGTAAACAAGTGTTAGTACTTTAAATCGCAAAAAATAGGCCATCTTTTGCCTAAGTCCGCCCTCATTGTGGGCATTGCGGATCCGAAAGTTACGCCACCGTATGAAACTTATGTATGCTATGAATTTGTACCTGGATCTTCCTTCTTTTAAGACAGATCGAATTACGCAGTTTTCGTAACAGCTCCTACTTTTACGTATTAAAATAAGCAAGTCCCATTTCGTTTTAAAATTATCACCAATCCTACTAATACACCTGAATATTTACAAATATAAAATTACGTACGTATCCTGAAAATCAAGGAAATTACGATCTAGATTTGAAACTATTTATCACGATTCTAAAAGAACATATAGCAATTCGCTCACGTCGCTCCTTGCCAGCCAGAGCCACTTACTTGCAGCTCCACAGCCTTCGATGCGACCAGCCTGCCTCGCCTCCAGCGACTGCACGGCCGCCGCCGAAATGCAAGCGTTGGAAGGGGGGGGGGTGGCGGGGAAAAAAGGGGAGACCTCCCTTCACGCCCCCTTATCGCACTCTAGCTTATGGGCCGTCCATAAATTACGGAACGCAAATTTGGGCTATTTTGAATGCCCCCCTCTTTCCCCTGCAACCACCTCGAATGCAACGTAACGCGTTCGACACCCAATTGCAATTAGTAAAACTTATTTATAAAGCAGAAAATAGTTGTGTTAATTGTTGTTGTGATATACATTAAAATTAAAATTTATTGTAATTAATTGGTGGTGTGGACCGGGCATTACAATACGTTTGGGAACAATTCTTTAATGAAAGAAGAATGCGTATGCGAGAACAGTATTTGATGAGCAGTGCACATGCTGGGTTGGATTACATAAGCGCCGAGTCTTCTGCTCCATCTAATTGGATTCTAGAATGAATTAATTGGATTGTAGATCAGTTTTGAATATTTTCTTGATAATCTAAAAGTTTCAATCAATATATCATTAATGAAAATATTTTATTTTATTGAAACAATTTACAGAATATAACTTCTTTAATGTACCATATTTTTAATTTAATTTGTTAATATGGTAATATTTTAGTATAAGACTGAGTAAAATAATTTTTTTCAGCAAATGTTGAAAGATTAAAAAAAATAATATAAGCATTACGTAACACTAAATTATGACGCCCCTACATATGTATGTAACGCAGTGTAACACTGCCTCAAACCCCCTCCCCCCTCTTCAGCGTTACGTAATTTATAGACGACCCCTTACCTCTGTCAAGCTAGCATCCCCCACTTCGCAGATATCCAAACTAAACTAGCCTAATGTTGAACTAATTTTGTACCAAAATAAAAAAATGGTCGCTCAATTTTTCCCAATAGCTAGCAGCCCCACTTGCGAGAAATAAAAACAACAACAAATATACCACAATAATGCACTAATTATGTATCAGAATTGAAAAATGTACTATATATTAAACAATGAAAAACACATGTGCCTAAGAAGGGGATGCATTACAATTAAGACAACCCAAAAGATGCTTACAATTAAGAGTGCAAAAATAGGAATGACATACCGAGGTGCAGTAGCAACTCCACATATCTAAAACTGAACCATCAAATTCACTACAATAATGCATTTATTAAGCACTAAAATTTTTACCATAATAAAATATTTTATTCATTAATATACACATTTTTTAAAATAGAATTTCCCTACTGAGAATAAAAGGTAGCAAAGAAAAAGAAATATCAAACAAAAAAACGACAGCTGCTGGGATTCGAGAAATTATTCGAGAAAAGACTAAAGGCATTATATTCGTCAGAAAATACTATTATACTTCACTACAGCGCTGGCAGTGATTGTTCAATCTATAAAGGCATATAATGTAGGGGGCAAAGATATCAAATCACATACTTTTCATCACCAGAAAAAGTTAGTTGATGATAATACAGAAAAACACGAGACAATTAATATTGAAGGCAGTGAACAAAATACGATATCTATTCAGAAACAGACGGATAGAACTGTCTAATGTGTACCCATTGATACAAAATTTGGGCATAGAAGAGAAAATCGCCAAATAAATGTTGGAAGAAGTTTTCTAATGTCATTCCTATGAACCTGTTTTTCAAAAGATAGAGTTTTAGAAGGCAATTCTTCGTGCGCAAAGAATCTGTATGAACAATTCCTTACACTTTCGTTGTTGAAGTGAAAGGAGAAAGAAATTGGTTTTCTCTGATTGTCGGCAATATTCAATGATTTCTGTGTAACGAACAAAGACATATCGCAAAAAATTGTAAAAACGTTGATACCTCTAATTCCTCTAATTATGAAACAATGCAGCAATTGACACCGTGAACGAGCATGAAGTGTTAATGACCTTCGAGTTTATACTCCTCTTGGTCAAGCGAAAGTATGACTTCTTTTGAATTGTGATTATGAGAATTTCTAAAAGAGATTATTAAAAATGCGAAAATGTAGAGCTGAGCAGATGTTAGTTAACGTACGCGTGCGTATCACATAAAATGTACAATAATTGAGAAATAATTATTTTCCCAACAAAGTATCAATTTAAGCTAAAAACATTAGCTACAGCAGCTAGCTATAGCAATGCAAATAGCAGTTTTGTGAAGATTAGCAACCAGTTTGGTAACATAATAGATCTTACATCAATTTAACATATAAAATTAAATAAATTAGAAAACAATACCAATGAAGGATCTGAATTTGGTTCCAAACTGTAACATTACCCACAAAATTGCGGCTCCATTCTTTACGTAACTACGATTATAACCCTCATAAATTAAACGTTCTTTAACATTCGTAAAATTAAACAAATGTACATGGAAAGGAATAGAATATTTATTATGCTACTTAGGATTAACATTAGAATTTCATGTGGTAGCTTTTTCCAAAAACTATTACTAATTAGAGATGCTCTAACAGTTCAGAGTTTCTTGCAATATTGGGACCGGTTATGTAATGTTGTAATATTACTATTTCTGCCCTCACTTCTGCCACGCGTTGCAAAGGTCTCAGCAAATTCAAGCGAAGCGCCTGCGGTAAATACCTAGTACTTCGATAGTCAGGAACAGAAGCTTTTTTTCAATTGTATAAAAGAAACAAACATGACTAAATCTCGACGGTTTCTATACTTGCAGCCCATTATACAGGCAAGCAAGGATAATTCCAGATATAAATTAAACACCGAGAAATGAAGGCTATCCAATACATCGCCTTAAGAATGCATATGTAGTACGTAACAACGGTATCATTACGTAATGCCCATATTATGCATATATTGAAAATGCTGCATTGAATATGCAGAAAAGGTTGAATGTTTCAACGTTCTTTACAGAGATCAAAACATCCGTTACCAACCCTTACTGATAGATAATATTTTGGGAAAAAATTGGAAAAGGAGGTAAGAAAATACCCAATTAATTTCAAACAAGAATTAAAGAAAAAATTGCAACACATATAGAGAAAAATTTTCTTCCTTATTCCCAAAAACATGGTACAAAGTATAACAAACATATTGAAGAAAGTGCTGCAGCGAAAGGGGAAGGCTTCAAGATATTGAAATCTCTCATTGTTTTATTTGGACGTGTTTTTCTGTTTGAACATTATTTACTGTGCGCCCTTGTTTATATTTCTCTTCAAGTGCCCGCATAGCTTTGTGAGTTAATTTTTCAGGGTAAAAAATTCAAATGTAAATATATCACTTGATTATTGTGATTTAAATGAGACTTTCCCAAATACCTTATAACTGCTTATGAAATTAATCTTATCATATAATTTATTTCAATTATTTTCTTCGTTTAATATTCCTAATCCATGATTATTCTGCTAAATTTCGCGTGTCCGAATAGTTTTGTGAGTCACTTAAGTTGTATATCATCAGTAAATACAGGATCCTCGAGTAACTGCAACTTTTCTTAGTTACTTGAAATTGGATGAGACCTTGACAGAAATTTGAGTCTTCAAACGGACGTTATTCCAGTACTTATTTTATATCGCGCGAAATTGCACGTTTTGGGGGCTACTGAACGATATTGCAACTTTTAGGTAACGCTGAGTGAAAATTGCATATTTTGGGCTTTTACTGGATGAATTTGCAAGATTCATAGGTTTATTGCGAACAATATAATCTTTATATTATCAACTTGTTTTAATTTTTTTTAAGGTTTCGCTTAAGACACAAAGTTATTATGTCGTAACCCAGCAGTGCATTCGGGCGGTCTGTGAAACACGAGATCCATTTAATATGTATCAATTTCATTGCCCTAAGAATTGCATTTTGTTGCCCTAAGAACAGAGCGTCAACACCTTTCATGATGTTTATTGTCTGATTCAAATTTCTTAGATATTGTAGAAGGAATATGCGTGTTATCACAAACTAGATCTGCGGCTCTTGGTTGCGGCCTCTGCCAACGCGGCCTCTGCCAGTGTTTGGGGGCTACTTTCCCGATCGGATCATATTTGTATATCAAAACAAAACAATTTGTCAAAACAGTAGACCGCAAGCGCGAGTCACAATTGACCTTACGTCCGGGCGTAAAGTTTAGTGGCAAGCTGCCCTGCGTTTCAAATTCATCGAATTTGTGGAATAGATGTTACGAGAGAGAGAGAATAAACGCAGTTTTTGCTCGCTTTTTGCTGCGTGCACATGTACAGTGCATAACAGTCTTGTTTGTACAGTTTACACGTTAAAGGATATTCGTGGATTATTGCGCAGAAAATACTCTAATATTTTATTGAAATATTTACTACGAATGTACAATGAAAAATTAGTAATAACTCCATAATTTATACAAAGAAGGAAGAGATTATATCAAAAATCACCTTATAACGTGAAGTTCATTCTATTCACGTGAAAAGGCGTGAATGTGCACTTGAATAAAATCCCTTATTTCTAGGTTGTTGATGTTTTTCGTTACGTTCATACGTCCTTCATTGCGACCGTTATCAGCTACATTTCGTTTGCGGATTAGTGTGTTTCACGATGGGAAAGAATAAAGAAATCAGCCGTGACGTAAAGGAAATCATTAACTTTTGGTTTACGAGGCTATTCTTTAGAGAACTTGGACGCAGAGTGAACAAACCCCATTCTATAATCAACTTCGAGGGTGGTCTGAAAAGTTCTCGGCCCCGCTGGTAGATCGCAGCACTACTAGCATGATGTTTTTGCCTCATGTTAGTATTGCCTTCAGAAGGCTGTGCGTGAAATTGCACGTCATTCCACCCGGTAGTTCGCTGTAGGCAGCCTTTTGAGTCGGGCGCCGTGCGAGAATTCATGGATATATATACGTATATGTTACTAGCTTAGATACAATGTTTCAGCGGTTCAACGGTCTTCCGCCAAAAAATTCAGCATCAGACGTTTCCTGAAAAAATTCAGACACGATTTTTGTTTTCGAAACTTCTTCAAATGGAATTCTCAAAATAATCGGTAGACTAAAAAATAAATATTCGGCCGGTTTATATGATTTTGTGGATTGTGGAAAGACTTGCGCACCCGCTACTACCCGTTAACTCACATATTTAATGTATTCTTATGAAAAGGATTTTTTCCAGATATTTTTAAAACAACTAAGATTAAGCCGCTTTTCAAAAAAGACAACAAAAATTAAATTAAAAATTATCGACCAATTTCTTTTGTCGATTTTTTCAAAAATATTAGAGAGCCTTTTTTACGTACGAATGGAAACATTTCTTAATAAATAACACGCGTTTTCAGATTGCCAACATGAGTTTCGAAAATCAAAATGTACGGTGTACCAATGACTGATGTTAAGGTAACAAAATTTTAAGGTCTTGCAGTTAAGTCAAACCTTAAATGGGCCGTCTATTGAAATGAATTGAAAAGTAAAGTAAGTTCTTTATGCTACGCTTTCAGAGTTCTTTCAAATTCAGTTAGCCTACACACTACTCGTGTATATTTCATGAATATTCATTACCGCCTGAGATATGGCATACTATTCTGGAGAAATACATCTTATAGCTCCCAGACTTTTAGATTACAAAAACGAATTGTAGGAATAATAAGCAATCCCCACCTATGTGATTCTTCTAAGTCTCTCTTTATTAATCTAAGTATTTTATCATTACCTTGTCCCTTCATATATAAATCAGTGGCTCAGCTTCTGGGTCAATGACCCCATCTCGTCAGGTTTTTATCCAGTTTCCCTGATTCTTGAGCAAATTCTGAGATGGCCCCTTGTTGTGCTTCTGGACATAAATGTAACTTCAATTTCACTTCTCCGCATAGCACGTCACACACTTTTTTTAAACTGTTTTTGACGTAAACAAATTAAATAAATAAATAAATAAATAAATAAATAAATAAATAAATAAATAAATAAATAAATAAATAAATAAATAAATAAATAATAAAATGATTTAGAAAAATCAAACTTTTCTTGGCTATTATCAACTATAAAGATATATTTTTCCATTAGAGCTATTATTTCCACAGGGAATCCTAAACAGGAAGTAATAGGGCAAACTGTTTGAAGAAGTATTTGAAGAAATATTTAATACAAACAACTATTAAATTCATTCATTGTTTTTTTAAAGCTGTATACATTAAGTGGTTTTAGGGAGTTGTAACACGAGCAACGATATGACGTATGCGCAGGACCGAGTTCATCTACCTCACGGCGAAATGGGGCGTGCAGGTCTGCGCCACGCAGCTAGAACACATCGCAGCTAACTGTTATTGCATCACCATTATCATCATAATGCGAGCAGCAACGCCCAAGGTGAGTGTGGAAAGGAACGCCCAAGGCGACACGAGATGTGGCGGCGGCGGCGTAGCAGAGACTGCAAGCGACAAAATTGCTGATGCGGTTGCTGTAGTTGCTGTGTCACCACGTGAGAACACATCCGGCAGCCAACACTGCGCCGACACGACAGCATCGCCTGCCGTCTACTATAGCAGACGTTGGTTGTGGCGGCAATGGGGTGATGCTCAGGGTCTGTCCAGCCGATCATTGGGGGGGGGGGCATCATACATTTTTATTAAATAATAAACATATTTGTTATGAAATTTTAGTTAATTTTGTACTTTATATATGATAATCTACAATATTATTTTTAATCACATACGTAATTATAACATAAATAAATAGTTAAATTAATTTTGTCAATTAAAAGATGGCAACAAACAACAAAAACTATGCCTTTTGGGGGGAGGGCACGCTTTTAATGCCCACCCCCTAGATCCGCCATTGGTGACGCTGCTGCTCCCCGCTACTTCTCTTGATGTTTATGGTGACGGTAGCTGCAAAAGTGTTGCCAGCAACATCAACATCGGCACGGGTGGTTGTGGCGCCGGCGGTGATAAAAATGTCTACTGGTAACAGCCCCGCTATATCACTTCGCGAATTGACCAACGTAGTAATCAGCATTCATTTTAAATAATTGTTTGCCAAACATTGCGCTGGTGGACGACTTAAAATAAAATCAATCATCGCAATGTTATAGTAATTCTTTTAAAGAAATGGTGAATGGATTTATATTCACAGCTCCGCCATGTTGGAACAAGGCATAACAAAGCGATGTTTCCAAATTTATTATTTATGAAACTTTTCTCTTCAAAATCTAATAATAATAATAATGATAATGATGATAATGATAATTGATAATTGATAATTGATCACTGATCATTGATCATTGATCATTGATCATTGATCATTGATAATAACGTAAAATGTTTGAGCATTTTGCCCAAGTTACGTGGTGTACCCTGCACGTCCTTTTTCGTCCGTCATGTTGATCAACGTACGATGGCGTTTGTCTCCGCAAAACTTCTTGATCATTATCCCATCCTACAACTTGAAAAAAAGAACTTCACTTTTTTCAAGGCCCATCTTCAACAGACTGTCACAGTACACGAAGAATTGTCGAAGTCGACTGAGCTCCCCGTTTTGCGGCCGGTGGTGGAGAAACTCTCGATCGCCGATATCCATATCAGCGGCTTATATTTCCTGTGGTAGACTCCGGGTGGTCCCGCATGCCAAATAATTTGCACGGAGAGTTGCCAAGCGCGACCGGATATGCGTTAAGACACGAAATGCTGTCCCCCAAAAGAGGCGACCAGCCATGTCTGTGACACCCTCATTGCACCAATATTTAGAAAGTAAGAGCTAACATCTACTGGAAATAACGATTGGCTGATTCATTGAGTGATCAGTGAATTGTCGACGCGTCAACTGCTAAGGGCATTAATTTGGTAAGTGCAGTGCATGTTTTTATTG